AGAACCGTTTTGTATGCTGGTGGAAAAATAAGACCCCTAAAACTAAAAAAATGGTCACTACTTTTCTTTTTTTTATTCTGTCATTCATTATTAACAATATTCTCTATCCGAGAATATTTGCAATTTTGTAAGTACTCAGGTTTCTTTTAAAGTTTATTGTTTAATGACTCCTCTACTTATTAAACATTCATATACAGATTTTACAATTTTTTTAAAACATTTTTTAACTATAATTAAGTTATTGGTCGTTGGGTTTACCCATACTTTGAAAGACACTGTACCGGGATATCCGAACTTGTTCATATTCTCCAGTCTTCCGCCATTTCTTATAACTTATGCTTCCGGCACCAACCTACTAATTTCCCATGGTTCTAGTTTTAGCAATGTTAATCTGTAGTCGATACTACTGCCCGCCATAATTTATCTTATTTAACAAGTAACAAGTCTTCAAGTTTATTTGCCAGAATTACTGTGTCGTCTGCGTATCCGATGTTATTAATGAGCGTTGTGGTGACTTTAATTCCCTTTGCTTCATTATACAAAGCATATTGATGCATCTAAATACCGAATTGCAAGTATTAAGAACAGTTGAAAAAACTCAAGCAACACTACTTATATGTTTTAATTTTGTGTAAACCAAACACATAAATTAAGTCAAGTCTTGATTAAGTGTAGTTTTAATGTCCTCGGGATAAATGTTTTTATTTGTTATAGCTAAACCTATTATAAATAATTCTGATATAAATAACAAGATTTTATTTTTGTATTTTCTTAATGTGTATATACAGCGAACTGCTAAAATATGGAACGAATGCATTTCAGTTATTAGATTTCTAGAAAAAAACTAGATGCAACGAATCCATATTTCCAGGTCGCTATTTCAAAGACTGGTTTAATCTTACAGATATAACAATTTCGAGAACTATGGCACTCTGTATCTCACGAGTGGGTGACATTTTCCTATTTCCAATTTCGCTGTCATTATTTTCAGAAGTTTAGTATTGCTGTTTAACTTTTTGCTTTTATCTGTTTTTCAATTAGCCTATTATATTAATTTTGAATCAGCTGTACGATATGGCATAATATTTTGGGGTAGGGCTTTGACAAAAAGTTTTTACCAATAAAAATAATGAAGTAGAGTAACTTATGGTTGCATGTTCTATATTTACGAATTTCTATTATTTAAATTTACGAATAAAAATATAATGCATAATTATAACACCTGAAGGTAGAACAACATTCTAACTGATAACAGACTTTCCATAATTGATTATATATTGTTGGTTCAAACTTGCTGGATGTTTCAGTTAAGCTCTGAAGAAGCCAACAGGATGACTGGCGAAACTTCAGCAAGTTCGACTCAGCAAAAACCGACGCAGAAGGAATCCAGAAGTTTTGTAAAATGTATCACAGTAGCCTATATAAGTTTCTTATATATATATATATATATATATATATATATATATATATATATATATATATATATATATATATATATATATATATTCAAAGAAGCTTTAAAGACAACATAAACTTAAAAATAACATTCTTTAACCATTATCACAATTAATTTAAAAAAAGACAACAAATGTTCAACCAACAAGCAAAATGCAAATTATATTCGAGGAAGTTCATTTTCTATCCTTCAAAAAAAAAAACTTATACATGTGCATAATTTTTTTTTTAAAGGATTGAAAATGAAATGGAAGCGGGAGGAAAGAAACCATTGCATCCTTAACGAGCAACACTGTCCCCTTTAGATGGAGCGATTTCTTGGAAAATAAATTACGTTAGCAATTATGCGAACTAAAAATGAACTTGAAAGCAAAAAGTCTGTTGTAAGAGCGGCGACTCCGAAGAAATCGATGTTCGCAAGTCTCTTGAGCAAACTATTTAATATTCACTATTTAGCCTTTTATGCAAAATAAGTAGTTAAACTAGGAGCGTTTAAGACCCCGTTGAAAACAATACGGGGTATTATATATATATATATATATATATATATATATATATATATATATATATATATATATATATATATATATATATATATATATTATATAGTTCAATATCTTTTGAGGTAATTTTTGAAAGAAACTTATATAGGCTACTGTGACCACCGCAGGAGTAATTTAGAACTTTTGTGAATAGTATCCGTTGAGGTATTCGTTTGGTTTTCATTCTTCATGTCGTTTCCTTTTTTTCTTTTAAATTTAATCTTCTAGTCTAGGTCATATATTTCAAGTTCTTCTATCTATCTGCCAACAAACTCCAACAAGCGGGTTAAGTAGTTATTTTTCTTCTCAAGTTTTTAAAATATTTACAAAACTATTAATGATATGGGGGATTATATGGCATTCTATTGACCTGCACTCTAAAAGCTTTCAAATAGATTTTAGAGCGATGCAGCAGTCGAATAATTGACATCGATTATTTAATTCTTGTTTTACGATTTAAAGCTTTAAAGAATCGAACTTTGTACTGGAAAGTCCAATGAACCGTTCGGTTTTATTTCCGCATCGGTGAAAAATTTTCGATTTTCTCGAAAATTGGACTAACATCCAAGTGGTCGATAGATTTGGTGTCATATATATTTACATAGAATATACCCATGATCACAGACCAGTGGTTTTATAGAGGGTGATTTAAAACAGATGCGAAAAACTTTTTTTTTAAAGAATATATCGTGCTACAAATAAAAAAAAAATAAAAATAAAAATGGAATTAGTTAGTTGATGTTTTCGTTAAAGTAGGGGCGAATAAGACCTCGTTGAAAACAATACGGGGTATTATATTTATATATATATATATATATATATATATATATATATATATATATATATATATATATATATATATATATATATATATATATATATATATATATATATATATATATATATATATATATATATATATATATATATATATATATATATATATATATATATATATATATATATATATATATATATATATAATATATAATATATATATAATAAAACAGATTTTTTATAAAAATAAATTTTTATCTAATAATAATTTTCATAATTAAATTTTTACGTTTGTCTATTAATCATTCCTAACAGTGTATCTGTTGGTTCTGTTCATCTGGATATATCAGTGTCTAAATGTTAATTAAACAAACGAATTTAAAAGCTTTTGTGTTAATAATTTATGATTTTTTTACTCCCATGTTTCGCAATATTTTTTCTTGCCCAATTAATTGTCGTTTTGCATTTTTAAGATGAAAAAATGTTAATTTGCTAATATTTTGAAATTTTACAACAAAAAGGTTTTTACTGATTTTTTATTCAATTTAATGTTAGTTTTTTCCCGGCTTGTAGTTAAGTATTTTTAAAATGTCTTCACATACTATTAAAGTACATCTTCTTCTGTAAGGTAATCAACCCCAAATGTATTACAAAGGGTTTCAATCAGTCGGTCAGACAAAATATATCAGAAACTGTAGGTTTTTCCAGAAAAATACACCCTGTATATATAGCAATATAGTATTCTAAAAGTACATACAAGTGAATCCAAGCAATTTCTGTGTTTGTTTTTGGTATTCTATTCAGGTTCTAAGACAGACCACCCCGTACGTAGTGAGTTGCGCCTCCAAATACATGTTAGATAATAAAACTCAGAATAATAGCTATTAGACCTAAACATTGACAAAATGAAGGTGCTAGTTCATCATCCTGGCTGAAAGATATAGAAAAATTACTAAGAAGTCATTATAAGTTTTTAAAAATTATGTAAAATCTGTGAATGGGGAGAAAATGTTTTACTTTGCTTAGAGTAGTGCTTAATACAAATGTTTCCTTCACTTCGGAAAAATACCAACATGGGTTCCCCATGGATCCACAATATTAAGAATGATACGAGTCAAAAAAAAACGTTCCATAACAAATAACATCCAGTGTTAGTGCAAATATGACTAAATTCATATTTAAAATCAAGCGCCAAGCGTCCAGACCTACAATTGTGTCAACCGAACTTGCCCGAACGAAACCGAACAGGATAACTGGCCGCTAAGCTAAGCCAGTGCAATAACAACAGCGATACGTAGAGCTACGATTGTACTCATTTATTGTTTTTCGCAATAAATCCATTAAAAACGTGAAATTCTCAAAATGTTTACTGGTCCTTCGATACCGCACAACACCCAATTAAAGCTAAGTGCCGCCGACTTACATTTAATGATTCAAATAATTTTTATTTGTGTAAATTTGTCATGACGTGCTTTTTCCGATATTGTTGTAAATTTTTGTTATTTGTATGGAAGAGTACTTCTTTTTCCTTTATAAATTTGTCTACCAGACGCGTCTCCGATGCCAAAATGAGATTTAACGCTCCAATGGATAGTAAAAAAGTTTCGATTTTCCCTTGTAATCCGAAAACTTTTAAACGGCTTTCCTAATAACCTGCCAACAAAGTTTTCTGACTCTCTCTTATCTGCTATGGACTAATACTATTGTAATACAGGATGATTCAATAAGACGCAACCTCGATTTAAAATGAGAGAAGAAGCTTATATCAATATGCTACCGAAAAGGTTTTGTTGGTTAGAAAAGTAGGGTGTCAAAGATTTTTTAATTGGAATTTTATATTGTACCACTGTCAATCTCGAAAATTATTAGATGGAATTTGGTGCACTTGTTACGTATCAACAGCACAATATTGAGATTTAGTCTAATATAATAATATATAGTAATAAAATGATTTTCAGACTCCTGAAATATTGAAAACTATAATTGCACCTTATCTGAACTGTACTAATTTAATGATCCATGTTATTGCAAATTTAAAAACTGAGTATAGTCTTTGGCAGATTGATAGTCTCTAGTCACATATTTTTTCTGTGTAGCTGCTATCTCCAAGGGCTAATCTGAAAATCCTTGCAAATTTAAGGAAATTCAATAGAATCGGTGTTTTAATAACCAATCTTTCCTTTTCAGATCATCGACTGAAATGATAACGGTTCGGGAAGATCAATCATGACCGGTTTCTGCACAATGATAGTCTGTTTACTTGCGACGTTGAGTTTCACGAAATCGAAAGAGAACAATTTTACGGATCTATCAGACGTCTCTCTTCCCACGGAATCTTCGAGCATCAATCAAAAGTTCCACGTATCCGACGCTTCAGACGATGAAAATCGCGGCAAAAGAACTAATTATGGTGAAGCGATCTCAACGTCCGCAGACCGAGCGATAAAGAGCACGCCGAAAACGGATTCTGCGAAAATCGCTTTAGAAAAATTTGAGTCAAGCAAATTGCCGGGAGCAAACATCCACGACGACGGGCGATTTTTTAAAGAAAACGGAATGGACTCGTCGATAGGTACGTTGCATATTTTCTATATTTCTGTGAACAATTGGTGTTAGCACACCAATAACTCCAAAGTCTCCCATTTCGGGAATCCTAAAAAATGTTGCCCTCCATTGTGATTCTCATAATTTTCTTCAATGGAAAACAGTCTGCTCAATCTATTTAGCTATCTCATACGAATTGTTTTTTAATAATAAAAGTTGTCCCCTCTTGTAACTAGATTCAAGATAAATATTATTTTGTAAGAATATTCTTGAAATTCAGGTATTGCACTTGATGAATTTGATGATCTATGTAACAGGTGCACAGGTTGACCGGAATATTTAAAAAAAAATTTTTTTGAAGTCAGGATTTAATATTAATTTAATTCATTAGCATTTCTTGAACCAAGTTCAATCTCGACGAATTAGACATCTGTATTAGAATCTATACTTCTAATTCCCTGAGAGTCCTTAAATCTTTATGTGTGCAACCTGTGCAATTCCATTTGTGTAACCACCTTGATTTCACCATCTTCTAGCTTTCTTTTCAGAATACTAAAAGTAAGAACAATCTGGTTTTGATAAGAGGAATATATTCTCCTTTTTATGATATCTTGTTCACTATTGTCCGATTGTAAGAATAAAATTAATAAAGTGTTTGTTTTCTTTTAAAATTTTCCAAGACATTCCACTTCAAAAAAAATCTTGAAATGATCCTATAGAAATCGTCAAAGTCGATACCAAGCCAATATGGTTTTAATATTTTGAAACCCAATAAAATCAAAATTCAATCGAAAAAGTGTAATAAGCAGTAGGGGTAAAAAAACTTATGGCTAAAGCTAACAATAGAAAATATTGTAAAATATTTTTAAATTTCTATAATTCCCACCAGGGAGTCTAATCGCATTGTGAATTTTAAACCCGTTTTTTGGGAAATAATCTTACATTTCTGATAACTGACATGAATACCTTTTTTTTCGTAGAATAGGTCTTGCCGACCTCTTAAGGAAAAGTGATGGGACGCGTCAGAATATTTTCGGAAATAAATGTCATTAACGTCAGAATATCTAAACGCATTTTGTACTTTTTGAAAGGGGTCCCTCTTAGGGTATCGATTCTGCCCCGAGCGAATTGATTAATCTAGACTGCCTCTATAGCCGCAAGAGTGCGTTTTGTGACATCATTACAAATATGATTAATTTTCTCAAAAAAAGTAAATGCAATGATATCACTTTTACTGAAACGAAACGGTTTAACCCGCTAGTGAAAACCGATATCTCTTTCCTAACCTATAATATCAGTAAAGGAAATAATTACAAACTAGTGTTGCGAACTTTGGGAATATTTTCTACCATTATTAAAGTCTAATATTTGTTCTTTTAGCAAAATATATGTAAAATTACTATTAAACCCCCAACTTTATATGTGAAATGTCAAAAATAATTACATACTCATTCCCATATGACCAAAATATTGCAAAATAAATATATTACAACCGCAAAAAACAATAACATAAAAAACCCAAAGATCTTCGCATTAATTCTATCAGAAACAGTTGGGTTTTCAATGTTTTCAAAATAAACATGAAAAATATCAAGCCCTTTCAATAAAAGTCATGTCCGCGTATTTAATTTTTATGGGAAAATTAATTTGATTTACAATGATGTCGCAAAACGGAATCTAAATCAATTTGTTCATGGCTGAGTTGTTAACCCTTTCCAAGAACTACAAGTTTGGAAAAATGCGTTCAGCAACTCCGAAGTTGACATTTATTTCCGAAATTGTTGGAACACTTTTTACACAACTTCTGGATTCCTCCTGTGTCGATTATTGCTGGTTCGAAATGGTTGACGTTTCGTCAATCATCCTGTTGGTTTCTTCAGAGCTTGACTTCAGTTTCGGTCCACCACTTTCTCTTAAGAGCGAAAACTATTTTTAACAAAACCGAATGAAATTCATTCCAGCTTTGAAACGGTATTCATTTTAGTTATTTGTAATATATTTTTAATTCTAGTCGGTAATTCTAGGGACTTTCCAGCATTTGGATGCTTTAACCATAATTTTTTCATTCCAAGTCTTTACGACAGTTTGAATTGTAGCTTTTAGTTCATTACAATGTTGAAATAAATACAAAATCTATCACGGTTTATTGGATATAACGTTTAAGAGGAAACCCGACTACTTGTGCGATTATTATCACCAGGATGGAGATAATCGAAAATTGGATAAGCACCGAATCGTTTAAAAGGGAGAAAAAGGGAGAACCAGATGCCGGTGGATCGCAGACATCGGAACGTAATTAAGTTCTTTGACGATGCGTATTTGAAAGTCATCAGTCAAGAAACAAAAAGAACCACCCTTTTACGTCTTTTTAATGCCACTCGGATGGTTTTTTGCAGCTAGATTCCATCGCCGAATTGAATTTGTTTTACTGGGCCGTAAAACGAAGAACATCGCGGCACGGTGAAGAAACGTAATTTTTATTTGCTAAAGCAAGAACCATCGCTTGAGAATTAGAGTTAGACAATTTAGGCGAGAAAGAGCAGAGGACTGTGTATTTTGGAAATTGTTTCCCTAGAAACAACGAAGCATTTCATCGCACAACTAAGTAATGTTATGGCAATGGCGCTTGAGAATTTAGTTTTGGCAAGCGAGGAAAACTCTGAGTAAAACAAATAATAGAAAAAAGAAGTCCTAGCAACATCATATTTATTGTAACCCGGAAAGCTTATGACAATGTTCTTGTCTCAAGATTGTGGAAACTACTTCAACAATCCAACCTCAATCTCGAAGTCAACACCAAAAATAGGTCAACATTCAACTAAGGAATTTGTGATAAATAAAGACGAGGATGACTACAATGTAAGATGCGGAAACCCTCTGAGGAATATAGAGGTTTGGGTCAAGCAGTCAATAGTCAAAAAAATATGTGCGTAGGAAGACCAATCTTGATATAAGAAATATCAAGCTGCCGGGGGTATGTGTATGTGAATGTTATTTGGACGTGAGTTTTAATAACAGCTGTATATCGAAAAACGATTGATTCAAACAAAAAGAATCATACCATGGAGCAAAGACATAATGAAGAAAAGGAAAATTAATATTTTCTAAATATTAATAATGACTACCCTAATATATGGCAAATAAACCTGAAAAACTTCATAAAAGTACATAAAAAGAGCTGAAGCAGTGTAAATGGATATTTTCAGGAGATCTTTGCGTATTTCATGGAGTGATACTATAAAAAATGAAATAATAAAACAACAAATAGAAACTGCAGGCATCACAGCTAATGATATCGAGCAAAAGCAACACACGATTTCTCAAAAACGTCTTTGAGAAGACAGTACAACGCAACAATCTGATTTTTGTAACCGTCCCCAAATATCAGTGCTGTTTCACTTGTTCTATACCAACTTAATTGGTAAAAAGATTGGGTTCACAAATATTCTGTCTACTGACTATCAATAATTTAGTTTTAGTGACATGTTGGAGCCCTTATTCTTGACCCCGATAGAATAGAAAACTCGAAAGAAAATGGACTTGTTTTTATTGGGAGTGCGCAGTTCTTAAACTGTTTTGGAGGAAGGGATCAAAGAAATGAAAAAATTCTTCAGACAGTTCTTTCTTTTTAAATGAAAATTTTATATTGGATTAATTATCATTATAGGAGGGTATTTTGCGTAATATTGACGAAACTAAAGATTTAAATTCAACAAAAATATTCCCTATCACAAATGTATTTTCATCACCAGTAACTAGTGATCTATTGATAATTTTATCTATTGTTAGGGGAAATGGAGACCATACAGAATGTTCTTGTTTTCTACTACCTCGGTAATTATTTTTATTTTCATATCAACATAAGCCTAAAAAACACAAATAATCTGGAGATCTTAATTTTATTGGGAAAGAAAAATAAAATGTCGAAAAAGTTCAAAATATTGGCCAACTTTAGCCAATTGACCCGTCATGGGATAAATGGCGAGAACATTTTTCTTCGTGCGTATATGGAATCTATCTTAACTTCTTTTATGATAAGCACATAGTAACCACGAACTTAATCAAACTACCCACTTCTTTAGTTACAAATCAAACTTAGCTCTGAAACAAAAAACAAAAAAAATATTTTAAACACTAATGACGGAATTTAGAGACTACCACGCCACGCCTTTATTGTGTACTAGAAAATATATGATATAAAAACAAATAAATAAATAAAAATTATATCTCATAAAAATTAGCCCAGGCCATAACGGATGTCTAGGTGCGTGCAAGTGCAAGTTAGGCTAACAGCTTAGTAGGGAAGGAGAATTGTGGGGTCTATAAATAAAAATAATACATTAAAACTATGGCATCCATTTTAAAAATGTGCAACTATTTTCCGCGGTCTTTTTTGCCTACTTAAGTAATAAAATTTGTTATCGCTAATTCCCTACGCTGAACAACTTCCGAAATACTTCTCTCCCCACCCAGTATGTTCAGCCTCGTTATAAATAAAGTCATCCGAAACAAAACTCGACTCAATTTTGGAATAACTTATCCCGTGGATCTTTCCACCTCAGGGGAACACTTAATGCAAATTCGGCCTTATACTTGGAAACTAGATATAAAACTCTCAAAGACAAACAGTCCCAAAACAACTTACAAAAATCCAATATCTATAAGCAAACGCGTTTATTTAAAATCTGCTCTACAAATTCTTGATGGGAGATTTTGTGTAAGTTAACATGATTTAAAATTCAATTTCAATTCATTGTAGGAAAATGAATTTTATGAGCTAGGCTGCAAAATAGATTAAGCTCGAATTAGACTTCTGTTCGTAATTATTTTCAAAGGATGAAGTTCACAAAATAATTAAATTTCTAAAAAGTATCAAGAAACCACGAAAAATAGTATTAATAAAGAATAATCCAATAATCAATCAACATCTAACGCGCCATCTACCGAGGAAACCCCCTAAATATTATAAACATTCATATTCTTAATAATATGGACCACAAGTCTTTCAAAAATATATAGAAACTTGCA